CTTTGAGAAATAAATCTGGCCACTGAGCACTGATTTTGGATACTAAAAAAGGTTTTCCTCCTAAACTCACTTCTTTCGGAGTTAACTAGCTGTCACTCACTTATAGCTTAAAAGTTATTCAGTTTTAAAGTCCGCCGAATTCGCTTGTAAGAACTTGTTGCAAGTTTGTTGCAAAAACAACATCGAGGACCTGAGGTACGCATCTGGCACGACTGCCTAGCATATAGTAGCTGATCCAGTGAAAGCTCGATGTTACCGTGTAGCACATCTGTGCCGTCGATCGTCGTGGAGTAATGGTTTAAGGCAGCACCGGATATAGAATTAAGAGCCAAGTACCGCTCAATGGCAAGTCAGTACGTCTGAACATATTCAACTATTAATTTTTATCAGATGAACTCTAACTGAACTTTATTACTATTATCACAGAAGCCGAATGACGAGGATAATTTCAGATAACTCAAGCTGAATCGGCCTTTTTAACATACAAAATAATTTCCCTTTGTCACATCTTATTTTCCCATTCACTCAATGTGATAAAGAGGATATAGTGCAGAATTCACACGGGTGGTTAATTGCAATGTTTAAAATGGACGTCTTAAATCATACACATGCGATACTGAAGCTTACCCGCGTGCACCTTTTTTCACCGGTAACCAACTTCACCCAATGTTGATCTGTCTCTGTTGACATCATCTAATTTGCATTACCTCGTGCGATAGCGACTTGCCAAATCGACAAGGATAAGAAGCGCATCTATTGTTGAAGTTGTGAAGAGGCCTCGTCGGATAAGGGCTCTAAACAAAAAACAGAATTCAGACAACACTGAAAGCTCCAATACCGATAACTACAGCATCAATGGCACTAAGACCAAGAGCTCAGGTACTAGATGCTCGGTCTCGAGCAAAAAACAAAGGACAAAGAGAATGATAGTGATTTTGACTTTGCCGAGGGTTGCGGAAAGAGCAGTATTGATGACAACATAGAAAGCTCCCGACTGATGACCCCAATGCAAGTAGCATCCATCCAGACGGCACTTACACCGACAATTATAGCACGGAATGCCTCAGAGCAGGTAAATCCAGCAGAGCATCGAATTTGAGTGAAGCGCCAGTTCTTCAAAAGCCAGCGTTTTTTGTCCTCGACGGTGAATCTGAACCCGATAGGCTAATGTTCATAACAGCCGTTGTTGACATTTCGATCACCGAAGTCTCTGAATCCAACTCAGCCTTAGAAGGCAATGGAATATGAAGCCTATGGCATATCAACTAATATGGAAAGATCAACATCGGGTTCAGCCGAACGTGAATCGCAAGAGCGAGTCCCCGGATCTAGTAAGGGAACAGATGGTGATTCCAATATAATTATATTGGAGCCCTTTGGAATTTGAAGAATTAACCGGAGAGATGCGGAAATTCCGAAAGGTAACTTCGGAGGTCTAGAGACACCGAAGAATGAGACAGAGATAGGAGACCCCGAAAAGGTCTCCCGAAAAATCCGAAACCCCAGAGAGTCTCTGAAAGGTGCGAACACCCTGGATAGTAACCAGGAAGGTCTGAAGCTTGGAAAATGATTCGGCAGACCTAGAGGATCCGAAAAGTAACTTGAGAGGTCCGGAGATTTCAGGAACCTGGAGGATCCAACGATTTCGAAACGTAACCTAGAAGCTTCGAAGATTTTGAAGAACAACCTAAAGGGTTCGGAGATCCCGGAGAGTAACCAGGGAGCTGCTCAATATCGCGCCTTGCAGTGCGGCTGAAACACCTCTTATAGTCTTTAGGATAACACGTTACAATAAATATATACATAGAATATGGCCGTTTTTTTGCACCATAGATGAATACTGGCGTGTTTTGTTTGCCACGATCTAGCGTATGCAGCGAATCATCGTTGCCAATAAAAATAGTAATTTCAAAGTAAGATTCATGGCTTCCACAAAAATCACCTATACACGCAAGGTTCATAAATGTCATTGCCAATAAGTGCCCACATATTAAAAAAAGACGAAACTAAACGTGAAAAATGAGCCACTTAAAACAGTTTCTTTTTTAAACAAGGAGCATATATTACATAATTTAGCTGGCATGCATCATGTCTAGTCCACATTCGACGAGTCATCCAGTCTGCATTATACGGATACATAAGACGAGTTGGATGAACTACGGAAATTTGAAGATGCAGCCTAGATCGTTTTGTCTAGCTTTACTTTTTGAGCTTAAACATCAACTCCCAGGACAATACGTAGGGGCACGTAAGGCGCTTCTCTCCTTCTCGGAAATTCTGCTCGTCATTTATCTCGGAAGATCCTCAGTAGCACTTGGCAAATGGTTTAAAAAAACCTTTTTGATGCACAAATTAACGGCTCTTTTAGGGAAAGAGGAACATTGATTGCCAATTGATTCGTTCAACTAAGCTCAGACGACTAATCTTTTTTGAGACCTTTTAGACATTTTCGACCATTTGGCCGTTTTGAGGGTTTTAGCCTACTGTCTGCTCAACATTTAATAATTACGTTGTAATCTTTGTTTGTGGCGTTTTACAGGTTTACACCTTCCGAAAAAACTATTTGCGGGTTATAGAAGAATTTTCTTGAAAATCATTGATTTGTACTTTAGATTGCGAGTTGAAGCTGTAACCGGGATAGATCGTAGTTTCATCGCATAAGCATAATAGTCAGATGATCGTTTCGATTTCGTTGAATTGTCTGTTTTTATAAGATACGATCTTAGAAATAAAGGGTAAGCAGCATTTTTTTATTTAAAGCAACTTTAGCTGGTAGTATAGAGCAGCCTCCGCATATTTGCGTGTGAAATCTATGTCAATTTTCAATGACCACATCTTAAACCCAGCCAGTTTTGACGTCATTTAATCTAGTACAGTTATCTTCTCAGAAAAATATACTTAAATACATATATATATACTTTTAGATTTAAACCTATACTATAGATTAGTTTGGCTACTAGTTTTCAATGGGTTATTGCAAGCCACAAGGGGTTCATACTCCAGCTCAAGGCAAAGTTTAAGCAATGAACGATTATGCTTGTCTCATATTGAAGCTGATTTTTTCTCGTTTGGTTATAGTTCAATGTGTAAATGTGTAAGGGGGAAAATATTTGGGATGGTAAATGGCAGTTCTCATATTTGTTTCTCTTGCACTTTGACTCGTTCCTAAATTAAGGCAGAATCCTACCGTCGTGAAACATGAATGAAACCGTAACTGCCGCTCAAGCCAATATCGGCGAAGAAATGCCAACGAGACGTTGACAGATATGCGTAAGAAACCTGTTTATCACTGTATGTTGTAAATGTAATTATCGTTTCAATTTAAGTTCCATTCAAGGGCTCTGTTTTCTAAGTACCTATTAATTGCAATTACTATAATAAAAAATTAGATTTGAAGACATTTCATATTTCTTCTTCGATAAAATAGGAAAATATCTAATTAGAATACATTAAGAAGTTGTAGTTTCAAGATCCGTATAATCGCTTTCGTAGTTTTCTTTTCTAGTAGATTTTTGCCTATAACAGTATTTTACAAGCAGTAGACTTTTATCCAAAGCAACGAACAAACGATCTTTCCCGTAATTCGGCTGCCCTCTCCGTTGAAGAGGCAAGTATATAATGAGACAGAAAAAAATTGCACGAGCTTCTCCGAAGGTCAGCAGAACTCTACGTCCTTCTGTCTTTACGAAATTTCCGCGTCGTTCTTGCGATGTCCCTGGCGGCGACCTGCGGTACATGGCGGGCACACAAGCGGAAGCGGGAAAGTGTATTTTGTCAACTGGCAACGTATTCATATACACATAGAGCCATTGGATGATCTGTCCGGAACGGCATAAATGGGACAAAGTTCACTTAAAACGTTTAAATGGAACATGCAGTGATGGCAATTGTACCTATTCCGTCAACCTATTCCGACCATACTCACACTGGTTATCTACTTAGCTGCCGCGTTGGGCTAAACTCTCCATGCATAGAGGGCGCGTACGAAGATTCGTACCGACTTTGAGATACATCTACCTGATGCCAATATGCGCTTTTACTCAGCTACTATTTCTGAGTTATTCCGTGTCTCACGTACGGTATCGCCGATAGGTATTTTATCGGACACCTGGCTCCCAGCACGAAATAAGGTATCTCTATGTCGAGGTTCGAAACTACGCCACAACGCATCACTAATAATATCGGGCAAATACGTTATCCAACTAAGCCATCACGGGGACACGCAGATGCGATCTACCGTAGAGAGCTGTTATTAATTGGTGAAGTAAGACATCCGAGAGTATAGTACAAGGGTGGTGGTTTTATTGATTATAATTATTTAATACCTTTCACCTCTAATATTTTTTTTTATAATTATGCGCTATGCCATGTAGAATATTACAGCTCTTGGATGACCTTACATTTAGCTCTCCAGTAAATGGTTTTTTTTTAAAGATATGAAACAGGGGTAATGCACCTGTAGGGATCATCCAGTCCTATTGATATTTTATTGATTTGAACATATTGGTAAGCCGCAATCAGAATTTGAAATTCTTCGAATGTGGTCTAATAGGAACGATTTGGGTTCCTGTTACACCAAACATAACATAAATTCTAGCTTGTCCCATACCTTTCTAACTAATTGGTCTGAATCCTTCTAGGACACCCTCGTACTAATCGCACTATTCCGTTGCAGCCGTCAATAATAATTCTATATCTCCGACGCAGTGATTACCTTCAGCGGTGATCGGTTATCCTGGTTACGCACTAATTTCGTGTTCCTATCGATTTTACTTCTGCTACTATCGTTGTCTTTTGCTCCCACTACGTTCAATCGTTTATCACGCGTTGTGTGTCACGCTGCCGACGAAACTACTCATCTCAACATTAAGAATGCCAATATAAATCCAAACATCTTATTTCATCGTTATACGTGTTTTTTTTTCTTCAAAACTCGCCTTCTTACTGCTGAATCGTAATTTTTTTTAAATTCTATTTTGTACTTGTTTTGAAACTTGCAGGCCCAAACGATTTTTCAGTGCAAGTCTCTCGGAATCTCTCAACGTTTGCCGAAAAATCGCCAAAAAGGAAGTTAACGTGCCCAAAATGAGCAGTACGCTTTATAAAATATATAAAAAAAAAAAAAAACATCCAAGAAGTGTTTAAGAGGAAGGCAAACCCTATTTCTCTAATACAAAGGACGTTTTTCCAGCCGAAACCGTTAATGATTCGAGGTAGGGATTAGCTAAACGTGCGAAGATACGCATGCGGTTAGACTGAGTAAATCGAAAGAAAAACGTACTATGATATGAAAAGAAGTGAATAGATTCTTACATTTCAACACGACAATGCTATGATATCTATGATTTATCCGCTACTCTATCTATCATATCTGAAGTATAGAGGCGCATGTCCTGGCCAATGAGAATCTTGCAAAGCCAGAACGAAACTCGTTCATTTGAATGATTACTTTTCTCATGGACTGATTATGGAGGCAATTATTTCCTAGTTTAAGCTCTGACGTACGACACAGACACGCGAAAGGATATCCTGAATGTTGTTATCCTATGTTATACACAAAGTACGTTAGCCACTGCCATTCAGTAGGTTTTGTCCCCTCGGCTGTGCATGTATTCCTCCACATACATTATCGTTGGTGATCTCTACTCATTTGACAATCGGCCGTTGTTTTTGACTCGCGCACATCTATTTGCCGTAGGCTGGCTCGAATTGTAACGAGGTTAGCTCATCAGGACACGGCTGATTCCGACACGTACATAAAGGTAAGTCTAGTTAGAGATGACATGGCAGGCATGAAGCTGGTCGCATGAAGCAGGACCATACAGAGTATTAGTTACACCTGGAAGCAAAATATGCTTGATATATCGTGCACATGATCAAGTCTGGTCAAAGCGTTGGATATTTCATACTTTTTTTTCCTTTGAAAAACCTAAGAGTTTTTTTTTGCTGCTACGATAGTTTTCACTCTGCCACAAGCGGACGTAAACACGTACCACGTCGTAATGATGATACAAAACGACTACTAGGTTTGAACACTTTTTTTTTCTCTTGGGCGCTTTGGTCACCACGGGTAGCACCACACGTAACTTACAAACGTACACCTATCAAAAGTTCTAAAAAAAGATTTGCTTCTGACACATATTGCCGGGTCTTGCGAAAAACATCCACGATATATCGCAGATAGTTAGCAAAAGCTTACGGATAGTTTATTAAATTTAGGAAATGTGGCCTGCCAATAACAACCATATATCTCTCGACCGATGAATAAGATACAAGATGCTATCAACTAGATCATCGTATCGCTGTCAAATTAAACCGCAACGAACTTTAAGTTATATCATCAGTTGTGTGTTAATTATACCTTCAATGAACGGTAATTTGTCTTTTATTCATCGGCAGAGATGCAGATTTCCAACGCATACGATACGTGTAGTATTTTATTCTGCCCACATCTGTGAATTAACGATCTTTATAAAATAAACTACGCCCCATTTTCTGCTAGCCATATACAATGTTGTTTGTGAGTCATGAAAGGGTGTCCCTTAGGTAAGTTTTTTCTATTTAATCAGAACTTCTATGCTTACGTATTGCGTACGGCCATTGCTTAACAACCATTAAATTCTTACCTATTCGCACACAGAAGAGAGACCTGACCCACTCTTACGACAATCGCCTTCAATGTATCCAGTGAAATAATGTGTTATTATTATTATTATTATAAATACTATATTGATAATAGAAATTACCAAAATTACAATTACCAAGGGGGTCAATGTTCTTCAAGCAGTCTTTTCAATACGTCTCGGATTAAAGCCAATCTCGCTGTTTGAAATGAGCATGATCCACCACATTATCGGCTTATATTAACTAAGTCATCTATTTAACTTTAATTGTACTTAATTTATTTTTATTTATATTTATTAAAATCTGAAACAGCAATCGGAATGGCCGATATTCGTTACAGCTACCCAATCGAATTCTGAGGACGAAAAAAATAGCGAGCCCCTTTTTTTTTTCGTTCTATAACACGATTACTTTCCGAAATTACGAAAACTTTCCGTAAATTACTAATGACACTCCAACCGTCCGCATTGAGTCAAAAGCGTTAAACAGTTTCCGCTAGAACATGTATCTGATAAATAAAAGCATCTATAGTCTCTCCTGGATATAAGCAAGCGTACTGTTGATTGATAGAAAAATCATTGGTGGAAGTCTCCGTAAAACGTTTACCCGTCGGTCTGTGGGTTATAATTAGATAGACTGTAACTTTTATTGGATAGGACTGCTAATTGCCATTGACATCAGATAGGTAATATCGATATGATCAACATTTCCAGATTTATCCAGTTGAATGAGCGCGTATTAGCAGCTCTTACTAATAACAGCAGTACGTCCGTAAGAAATAAAAAATGCTCGCTAATTGGAAGCATTCATTGGTTTTTCTACGGCTCGTTTGTTAGACCAAACTATTATCGAATTCGTTTGGTCGCCTGAAGTTCTGAGGATCCGTTCGCTATGAAAAATGAGGACGTTTGCGTTTGCATTGACGTTGGTGCGTTGTTCACTGGCTGTACTCTATTTACCTAACTAGCCCCCCCCATTCGGGGCATATGTGTTAATTATAAGAATGTGAGGAATCGTACCTGTTCATTCACTCAGATAATGTTCAGCTCATAGACACCGACAGCATTGAGTGTATCGGTTTCCTTCGTAAGCCTTTAGCTGTCATTGGGCTTTGGTGGCTGGAAATGGTGCCTTGCAATCGCAGGCTCCCACCTTCTATGATGCGATGCCGTGCCCGACGAGAACGGTGTTACTGAAAAAGCAAAATACTTACAGTGATCTGTTTCACAGAGACGCCGCTCATACAAGTAGCGATACTTCTTGTTTTGCTGTTCTAACGAGGACGTAGCTTACCATCACTGTACCTCTACGACATCGAGCGTGCGGCTTAGAGGCAGCCCATAAGTCGAAACCCCAGTAAATGATTTCTAAGAAGCAAAATTAGATCACATTTATCGCTATATAGCGGACAAAACTTGGATTAGCTTATTAGATGTTATTACTAGTTATTGTTCTATTGAAGTTACTTTCGTATAATTTTCATTATACGATTGTTAACATCAATTAAGAGTCACGGTAGTGGAGCGTAATGATAAAGTTTCGATATCAAGATATATTAATCCCGGTAACCAAAAAGAAAATCAAATGCTGCCGAATATCGCTTTCTAGTTAACTATCATCTAATTCAAATAACAGATTTTTATTTAAGCGATATGATTTCAGCCTAATACAAGCCACAGTCCTTGTAGGCATTGTCAGTGTGAAACATCCTTAACTGGAAAATTAGGAGTGGGGGTGCCTGCAGAATCGCACGGTTTTGCTTTTGCCATAGTAAGTTGAATTAAGGTAAGCTACTACAGGCTAAAGATTGTTGTAGAGCTTTACTAGACCCTGTATTGAGCACCGCAACAATGAATAGTCATAATTCTTTACTAAGGAATGGGTATCGGCCTCTCGATAACAATGCGCATGCATCAGACGAGTACCGAACCGGCAACTGTAATGCCGTCACATTTGTAGGCTGCTGAAGGTGTTGGCAGACGTTCGATTTTTCATACTTCACCCGAGTTCCCTTTTCAAGCAGGGATGCCACAGCCGTTTATCGTTGCGAGCCTATACTGTTACTGCTTTCGTGACCGTTAATAGCAGCGCTGAATAACAGGGTCCTCGCATGCGCGGCAGTAGACTGAACTCTCATAAACATCTGCCCTGGGCGGCAATGACAATCACAGAGCGCCAGCCAGTTACTATTGTTTTTGTTGTTGTTTGGACCACTGTTGCCAAGGCCGAAAGCGGCTCTACGTTTCTGTAGAGACGTCCTACGTCTATCGCGATGGCAACCGCTGTTGCGCCCCTCTTGCTGCCTGTGGTCGCGAAGTGTTGTTGTCGTCGTCAGCATATGAACCAGCTTCCTGCTAGTTTAGGATAGTTCACTTGCCACTAGCTCTTCGGCTTACGACCGACTTTGCCGCAAACTATGTTGCTGCTGTCCCTACGTCAAGCAGGGTGACGTGACAGTCAACAGCGGTCGTCTGTCCGTCGCGTCATACCCTCGTTCTCTATTTAGTGGCAGCCGTATGAAGCCGCTGCTGGCGGCGAAGGCTCTACACAATGTACGTGACTTAGCGGAAATGGCGGCCGCGACTGCCGATCTGGTCTGTCGCTTGGTCTATAGGCTGCTGGTCAATAAACTCGTCGCCTGGCTAGCTGACTGGCGGCTGGTTGGTATACGTGTCTCCGCGTTCGAGCCAGTACTCGAAATGACGGTCGGCAAAACGTGCTCAGCCGAGTGGACCCAGTCGCTGCCGGCTCTCGTCTGTGTGAGTCAACGTTCCGACGACGGGTGCCACTCCACAACTCCATGCCTCATTGAACTAACAACAGATGGCCGATTGAGCAAACGGCCGACATACGAATCCTATGATTGACGCCCTGTGTGGCTATGGCGGTATTGTAAGAAGTCTTCGGTAAATCTGGCTCGGTCGAGAGTTAACCACAAATCTACCAAGGCGTTGCATTTTTAATTTACTGTGTAGGATTTTTAGGGTTAGTCGTTCTAAACCTTATTAATTCCTACGCCGTTTGCCGTAGAAAAACTCAACGTACCTAAATAGAAAACAGATTCAATGCTATTTAAGTAATGCGAAACTGCGTTGAAATGGAATGTGGAAGGAAATTAATAATGGGGCTGATTTAGTATTCACCAATAGTAGGATCACTCATATCCTCAATATTACATCATAAACCTAACCTAAACAAGGTCCTGCTTTTTACACTCCGTTGTCACAGCAACTATGAATTGGCATGGTACTACTAAGTGATCGAAGCAAAAAAAGGTCCTCTGACCCCTAATGCCGCCACAGTTCCCTATGGTTGATCAAGTCTAGTTAAGATGAATGGTGAAAAATTGCAAAAGGACCACGTATGGGAATGTTTGAACCTTTTCAAAGCTTTCACAGAAGCTATTACAGCAACAGTGAAAATGTATGAAGGAACTTGAAACTTGTTTGCCGATTTGTAAGACGTCCCGTCCGGTTGAAGAAATAAGGGGACATAAATCGATTTCCTCTAACCAGTCAGCGTAACCCAGCCGATGATGTACGTTAGTAAATGCAAAACATGTAACAGACCTGTGGACTGCGCAACGGGGCATAAAAAAGTTTAACTTATATCATAATTCGTGCTAGAATGTTGGCCAATATGCGACCTGTTGGAATGTTGCCTCCAACAGAAAATACTACAACCATTCAAGTACGTTTTCGACAATTCACAGTAATACTTGTTAGAAAGAAAGGAAGAAAACGATTATTTGGCTGGCCACAGATCAGCCAGACTTTTCTAGGATCCTAAGTTTTTAAACCTGAATAGAATTCTTAATGTATTGTTGAACGCGTACATTTCGGACCGCTATATTCAAATAGCCACCTCTGGGAAAACTCCCTGCCATTCCCTAAACCAATAAAGCCATTTTGGTCTTTGTGAACAATTTTAGTAAGAAATACTACTTGCAGCAGCACTATTGGAACACTCCTCCGGAAGGCATAATTTCACGCTGGTGTTGTCCCTATAGACACATATTTCCTACAGGATAACAATTAACACGCGGAACCAACTGTATAGGAACGATGTTACAAGTTTTAAACTGCTTTTTGCGCGGACTTACAACTGGCTCAGTCGACGAACGACCGAGACTGTTTCGACACATATACAAGGACGAACGACGATGGAAGCTACACGTTAGGAAACCCCACTGTTGCCGATTCGGGCAA